ACTGAAAGTGCAAATTCTCCCTGGGACTGGCTGGTGTGGGCTCAATGGGGGGTATGTGTGTGTGCAGGAGTGTGGGCTCAGTGGGGGGTACATGTGTAGAGAGAGAGTATGGCCTCTGTGGGGGGTTATGTGTGTGTGTGGCCCAGTGGGGGGTACGTGTATACTGGTGTGGGACGCAGTGGGAGGTACGTATGTGGGGTGGAGGGTGTGGCCTCAGTTAGGAGTTACGTGGGGGGCTCAGTGGGGGGTATGTGCATGAGGATGTGGGACCCAGTGGGGGGTATGTGTGTGTTGGGGGAGGGCACTGGGCTTTCTGGGGAAACAGCAGGAGAAAGGAAACAGACGCCCTAGGAGGCTGGGGGAGGGGTACTGAACAGAAGCCCTCTCCCCTGCAGCTGGGCCGGCCTGTGCCTCCTCCCTGGCCACCACCCCGATGCCCTTCCCTGTGGAGTGGCTATCTTTCTGGATCCCAGATCTGTGGCCCACCCTCACCCTGTGCTCTCTGCTGAGGGCACTGAGCCATGTTCTCTGTCTCCCCAGGATGTTTGGTGCCCCGCTGCCCCCGGGTGGACCCTGGTACCTGCTGACAATGGGCAGACCCAGGCGCCCACTTGGTGTCTTGGGTCCTGCTTGGGCTAGGCCCATGGTGAGAACCTACCTGATCCCAGAGCCGGCGATGTCGAACTCGATCAGTCGAACGTCCTGGAAGTGTGAGGGGCCAGTGACCCTCTGGTTAGAGACCATGGGTGCCAGGAAGGGCTGGAGCTCTGAGGGGGGTCCCTGAGGGTCTGTTGTGGGCCCACACCACTCCTCAGTCCTGGAGACCTCCTGCAGGAACTGCAGGGTGAACTTGGATGGCAGACTGTGGAGAGAGCAGGGGCGCTCAGCCCAGATCCCCCCAGGACCACACACCCGCGCCCTTAGGCCATGGGAAGGTTCTGGGGCCGGCTGGGCCGTACTCACGAGACTCCAGGTGGGATCATGCTGAGCCCGGGGGACACTGGGTACAGCCCCAGCACCTTTCCCCACAGGTCGTGCAGCCAGGGGTCGATGGCGGCGTCGGGCCTGTTGAGAGCGCGTGTGGGTCCATGAAGGTTCTCATGACAGCAGCACCCCCGTCCACCCATCCGTCGGGGCACAGACTCACCCCAGCTCATGCTGGTCATCACCCAGGCACGCGGGCAGGAGAGCACAGCCCCCGAGCTGCAGCAGCCGGCGGTGCAGCTTCTTGGCCACAAAATTGAACCTGGGGAGGGACAGAGCAAGGCTGGGCCAGCAGGCGGCCCGGGTGCCGGGCTGTCCCCGCATGCACTTTCCACCCTGGCCGCACCCTGGAGGGGGCAGGGCACAAAAAGCCCGCCCTCTGCCCGCTGTCCAACAAGGCTCTGGGGCTGCCCACCCGTCACCTGCTGTGTGTCACGCGAGGGCGGGAACCAGAGCCTCAGGGCCTGCAGCAGGGGCCTGGCCCCCTCCACTGAGAGCCTGGCACTGGGGCGGGCTCAGGTCTGGCCCCCTCCACTGAGAGCCTGCTGCTGGGGCGGGCTCAGGCCCGGCTCCCTCCA